TCTCGATGGCCCACGCCTTTCACATTCCTGCCTGGGCCTGGCGGCCTCTTACTACGTTCGCACTGACAGCGGCTGTTAGCCGCCCCCCCCCGCCGCCCCCTCCGCCCCGCCCCCGAGCCGCCCTGGCCGCCACCCCTCCTGCAGGCGTCCCCTCGCAGGAGGCTCGGGCCCGCCATGTCTCTACTTGCTCTTCGGCGGTTAGCTGCGAGCGCCGCCCACGACGCGCCCGCGCCCCCGGCGCCCCCCCCGAGGCGCCAGGGCCGGCAGACCATGGACTCATTGGACCGACTCCCCCGTCCCTCTCCTGCGGCTGCCCCCCCGCGAGCGGCGCGCGGGCCCGCCCGCCGGCCTCGCTGCCTCTGCGGCCGATGGCCGCGACCCCCCTCAACAGCGCGGCCTGGCCCCCATCGCGTCCTGCAGGGGCGCTCGCGCCTCGCGTTACCTCGTCGACCGATCTCCCCGGCCCACCCGCCCTCCTGCGGCTGCCCCCCCGCGGGCGGGGCGCGGGCTTAGTAGTGGCTGCGCCGCGCGTTTGCTTGTGCGCGACCACCGCGGCGCGCCCAGGCCTCGGCGCCTCGCCGGGGGCGCTGGGGCAAGCCGATGGTGAACATCCTGGATCGACAGCCCCCCCCCCCGCGGCTGCCCCCCCGCCGGAGGCGCGCGGGCCGCCCTTGATACAATATTTTGCCGCTCTCAGCTGCGACCCCATCTACAGCGCGGCCCTGGCCCTCAGCGCTTCCTCTGGGGCGCGCGCGCCAAGAGATATATCGATCATTTGCGAGCTGTCTGGCCCGTCCGCGGCCCTGCGGCTGTCCCCCCGCAGGAGGCGCATGGGCTTGTCACCTTAGCTCCTACGCCCTGGCTGCGTCCGCGTTGGCGATATGGCCCTCGGCGCTTCTGTGGCATTGGCTCGGCGACAGCAAGCGCAGTGGCTTCTCCTTGGCAGATGTTATCGACGGCGCTGCGCCACTCTGACCCGCGCCTGCCGTTCCGCACGTCGGCTGTGCCGTGGTACGTTGGCTGAATGGATCGATGACTGTTCTTTGGTGTCAATGCCTCTCCGCGTGGCTCCTGCGTGGCAGGTGCGCAAGACCCGCATTGACGACGGCGCCGGCATGTCACGATCTGCCCTGTTCGTTGATTTGATTGGCGTTGACTTCTCCATCGGGACGAAGGTTGTACGTGTCCTTCGCGAACAAGTTTGCTGAGGTTCCCTCCGCACGTGGGCTCGGCGTTCTTGCTCTTCGCGTTCGGCCTCTGCGCGTGGTGCGCGCCCGCAGCTTCTGTTTTAAGCCGTTGTTTTTGGCCTGCTCGACCCCTGTGACGGCGCGCGGCCGTACCGCTTGCGCGCGCGCGAGCACAAGAAACACCAGCCTGCCTGGTGATTCAGCCTCCATGGTACTCGCACGCTGCGTTGCAGCATCCTGGCAGCCTCTGCAGCTTGCAGCCCCCGCCCTCGGCGCAGCTCAGCCCCGACGCCGTTGCTTCCCCGGGCGGCAGGTCTTGGTTAGTTCGGCGCGCGCGCCAGCAATTAGGTTGCTCGTAGCCCGAGCCAGCTGCGCTGACGCAGCCGGCGCCTTCGCCTGCGGCCGCGACGAAAAAAAACACCAGCCCATCCAGAAACGATGCCCACAGGAATTGCCTCGACCAGGGAAATGGGCAGCACACAGAGGAAGGGATCCCCAGTGGAGGCCTCTTGGAGCGTTTTGGGTGCCTCGCAGAGCTTCTTGGGGCCTCTTGGGGGTCTTTTGGGAGCCTTTTGGAAGCCTCTTGGCGCCTGTTGGGGTTTCCTGGGGCCCCTGTGGGGCCCTCTTGAAGCGCTCCCAGGAGCCTTGGGAGCGCTCCTGGAGCCCTTTTGGGGTCATTTTGGAGCCATCTTGAGGCCTTGGATGGCCATTGGAAGCGAAAAGGCGAGAAAACCAAAAACACTGTTATTCGCAAGGTTTTGGACGGATGTTGGCCTCTTCGGGGCCTGTTGGGGGCTCTGGCCACTTGGAGCAGTCTTGGAACGGTCTTAGGGCCTCTTGGAGCATCGTGGGAACCATATTGAGGCATCTTGGGGGCCATCTCGGAGGTCATCTTAAACGCTCATGGAGCCATCATAATATGTGCCCGCCCCCTTCCCCCCCGGAGTCCAAAATGTGGCCAAGACCTTGGTGAAATCAAAGATTGTGGCGTTTTCGCCGCGGCCTCTTGGAACGTATTGGCTGCCTCTGGGGGGCCTCTTGGGGCCTCTTGGGGGTCTCTTGGGGGCCTCTTGGGGGCGTCCTGGGGGCCTTTGGGGGGCCTCTTGGGGCCTCCTGGCCACCTCTTGGGGCCCTGTTGGGGCACCCTTAAGAGCCTTGGGAGCGTTCGTGGGGCCATCTCGGAGGGGATCGATCAAAGAAGGGGGGGTCCTGAATTAGCCTCGCCCCCCCAAGAGGCCAAAATGGTGCCAACACCCTAGTAAAACCAATGAGAGTGGTTTCCTCGCCGAGGCCGCTTTGGACGCCCAGACCGCTCGCAGGGCGCCCCGTCCAGGTCCAGGGGGGAGGGTAGGGGGAGAGGTCCAGATCCCCTCCCCGCCCGCAAGCCGTCTCGCTCACTCCCACCCGCCTCCCCCAACACATACGTAGCACCCGAGTCTGGCCCGAGCCTCAGCATATTCAGCAGTCGTCTTTGGATGGGCAGCTACTGGGGGCCAATCCGCCGCCGCCGCCGCTGCCGCCGCCGCCGCCGCCGTCGTCGCCCCCCGCTGCCAAACCGCCGCCGCCGCCGCAGCCGCTACCGCCACCGCGACCGCCGCCGCCGCCGCCGCCGCCGCAGGCGCCGCCGCCGCCGCCGCAGCGGCCGCCGCAGCCGCCGCCGCAGCAGCCGCCGCAGCCGACGCCACCGCCGCCGCAGCCGCCGCAGCCGCCGCCGCCGCCAAGTGTACTCTGTATTGTTTTTTTGACAGGGATGGTGGGAGGGGGCCGCATCGGGTTGGCTGCACATGTTCCGAATTTGGAGGCAGAGTGTGTTTTGTATTGTTTTTTACAAGGGATGGTGGGGGGGGGGGGCATGGACCCTGGTTGGCCCCCAGTCGCCTGGGGGAGGGGGTGTTTACTAGCCGGCCGCTCTGCGGTTGATCGGGAGTTTCTGTATATAGAAGAAGGTGCGTGCGCTTGTTGGCGAGGGTGATGAGGTTCCTCCTCCTCCTCCTCCTCCTCCTCCTCCTCCTCCTCCTCCATCCTTCTCTTGCCTCCGTCTGTCCTCCTCCACCCCGCAGCTCCATCATCTTCTCCTCCTCCTCCTCCTCCTCCTCCTCCTCCTCCTCCTCCTCCTCCTCCTCCTCCTCCTCCTCCTCATTCCTCCTCTGGGCACCTCCCCCGGGGCGCGGATCCACCGGATCTGTCCGGATCTGTCCGGAAACGGTGCCGGAGGCCGCTCTGGGCTCCTCTGGGCACCTCCCCCGGGGCCGGTTTTGTGAGGATGTCTCAAGCGAGGGCGCCGGTTTGGGATTCGTCACGGATCCACCGGATCCAGCGGATCCAACGGATCTGTCCGGAAACGGTGCCGGAGGCCGCTCTGGGCTCCTCTGGGCACCTCCCCCGGGGCCGGTTTTGTGAGGATGTCTCAAGCGAGGGCGCCGGTTTGGGATTCGTCACCGGATCCAGCGGATCCAGGATCTGTCCGGAAACGGTGCCGGAGGCCGCTCTGGGCTCCTCTGGGCACCTCCCCCGGGGCCGGTTTTGTGAGGATGTCTCAAGCGAGGGCGCCGGTTTGGGATTCGTCACCGGATCCAGCGGATCCAGCGGATCCACGGATCTGTCCGGAAACGGTGCCGGAGGCCGCTCTGGGCTCCTCTGGGCACCTCCCCCGGGGCCGGTTTTGTGAGGATGTCTCAAGCGAGGGCGCCGGTTTGGGATTCGTCACCGGATCCAGCGGATCCACCGGATCTGTCCGGAAACGGTGCCGGAGGCCGCTCTGGGCTCCTCTGGGCACCTCCCCCGGGGCCGGTTTTGTGAGGATGTCTCAAGCGAGGGCGCCGGTTTGGGATTCGTCACCGGATCCAGCGGATCCAGGATCTGTCCGTCCGGAAACGGTGCCGGAGGCCGCTCTGGGCTCCTCTGGGCATCCTCCCCCGGGGCCGGTTTTGTGAGGATGTCTCAAGCGAGGGCGCCGGTTTGGGATTCGTCACCGGATCCAGCGGATCCAGCGGATCCGTCCGGAAACGGTGCCGGAGGCCGCTCTGGGCTCCTCTGGGCACCTCCCCCGGGGCCGGTTTTGTGAGGATGTCTCAAGCGAGGGCGCCGGTTTGGGATTCGTCACCGGATCCAGCGGATCCAGCGGATCCACCGGTCCAAAATCGGATGTCCGGAAACGGTGCCGGAGGCCGCTCTGGGCTCCTCTGGGCACCTCCCCCGGGGCCGGTTTTGTGAGGATGTCTCAAGCGAGGGCGCCGGTTTGGGATTCGTCACCGGATCCAGCGGATCCAGCGGATCTCTGTCCGGAAACGGTGCCGGAGGCCGCTCTGGGCTCCTCTGGGCACCTCCCCCGGGGCCGGTTTTGTGAGGATGTCTCAAGCGAGGGCGCCGGTTTGGGATTCGTCACCGGATCCAGCGGATCCAGCGGATCCACCGGATCTGTCCGGAAACGGTGCCGGAGGCCGCTCTGGACTCGTGCTCTTCGCGCCGGTTTTGTGAGGATGACGTGAGTTCCACAGAAACTCCCTCAAATTAATAGGGAACAATGATTAACCCCCTCCCCGAACGGGAAGAAAGCGGGTTGGAAGAGGATCCGCCGTAAACCACCTACGCCCAGAGGGCTAGTGGGATTCGAGTTTGAGTCGAAAAGATCCTCTGAAGTGGCCCCAACGAACGAACGAGCGAGGCTGCCGTCGCCGGGAAGGCGCCCCTGCAAGGGAGGCAGGCGCGCCTGTAGCGCGGTGCCCCTCGAAGAGGACTGGGAACGGGCTGAACCATACGCCAGGGTGGCCCCGAGCAGGTCCCAAACACGTGCTTCTCTGGCCTCCGCCGCGCCTCGGTCTCGTTGAGCTCGAGCGACGCGCCGCCGAGGCGGAACTCCACGCGGTTCTTCAGCTCCTCGTGGCGGCGCGCACAAGGGGATAGAGGGGGAGGGGCGGGGCTTCTTATACGGAGGCCGCTTCTCAGAAGGCGCCGTCCTTTCATTTATAGACGAGGCCCGCGGCTTCCAAGAAGCAGCCTCCTTCTGAGAAGCCTTCCCACCTCCCCCCACCCCCCTCTGCTCGTGGCCGATCCTCGGCGCCGAATTCCTTCCGGCGCCCCGAGCTCATGACCGACACGCTCTTGCAGGCCGTGTCGCCGCCGCCGCCCAGCTGCACCCACGAGCCAGCGCCCGTCTCGTCTGCCTCGGCAGATCGCGCCCGCCAGAGAGGATGCACAAGCGGGGGCGAGGGGGCACGCAGGGAGGGGGGGGCAGCTCGGGGAGGGTGGGAGGGGCATCGAGTTGAGTCGGCGGTAAATCGCCGACATATCGGCGATAAAAGGGCGCCGCTTCGCGCTGCGCGAAGCGCGAATAACTTCGCGCTCTCGCGACGCCCCTCAAGGGAGAAGAGGAGGACATGGAACCGCGAAGCTTGAAGCGCGAATAACTTCGCTCCCTCGAGGGCGCCCTTGCAGCTCCGGGGGGGAACATCGAGCTTGAGTCGGCGATGCATCGCATCGCTGGAAGGTCGGTGATAGGAACCCGATATCCGCCGTCAGTGGGCGATTGGGGGTCGATGCGTCCCCTCCTGAGCCTATCCCCCACTAACCTTGCCCCGGAGGGGAGGGCGGCCTTCTGAGAAGGCAGGGGGTCTCGTGGAAAGGTCCCGCCCCTGATCACACGAAGGCTTCTGCGAAGGCTTCTCAGGAAGACAGGGGGGGCTTCGAAGAGTCGGCGTGAGTGTCTTCTTACAAGGCCACCCCGCCTCCCCCCGCACCCTTCGGAGCGCTGTCGTCTCTCCCGCCTCATGGTCGTCGGGCGGGTCAACCTCCTCTGCGAGCTCATCTTCGATCTCGACCTCTTCCTCAACTGTCTCCAACGTCATTGTCTGCGTTGTTGTGGTTGTCGTCGTTGCCGTGGTCGGCGGCTCGCTGAGCCCGTAGCACTGCATGAGTGCCTCCTCCGTGTCCGCGTCGATCTGGTCGAACTTGGACTTCAGCGGCTGGGTCATGGAGGTGCGCACTGCCTGAGATACCATAAACTTCGCGCGCTCCAAGCTACTGTGGTCCATCTTCTCCATCGATACCGTCTTGATTATCTCGTAAGCCCGGTCTAATGTGCTTGACCAGGAGACGGCCTCGCCAGCGTCCGCCCAAATCTTGACCTCCTCGGCGACGGACTGGATAGGGGTGGAATGCGCTTCCTCTTCCTTGTCCTCCGCCTCCTCCTCCGCCTCATCCTCCTCGTGCTCTCCTCCTCCTCCTTTCTCCTCCCTGACATCTGGCCTCCTACAAAATCAGGGCTTCCAATTCTCTGACAAAAAGAATCACCGAACCTAGCGAAATCACTCGTCAATCGGTCTCGGATCCTGGGGCCCCCAGAAAAACCGACTGCGCGAAAACAATGCCAAAGACGTGGCCGAGCGTTCCGAAACCTTGATCCTCTCCTCCTCCTCCCACCTTATCCTCTTCCTCCTCTACCTCTCCCTTCGCCTCCGCCCTGCTCCCCCCCCGGCCCTCCCACTCAGTCTATGGCCGCGTCCTCTGCGTAGTTCGGCACAATGTCGGCCCCCTCCTGGAAGATGGGGGCGTAAGTGGCGATTCGAAGGTGGGCGTCACCAGCCGTCAGGTTCTCCTGGTCGGACAGACACATACCCGCACCCCTCCTCCTCCTCCTCCTCCTCCTCCTCCTCCTCCTCCTCCTCCTCCGCTTCCCTGCTTCTGCTGCTGCTGCCCCCACATCCGCCCTCCTCCTCCTCCTCCTCCTCCTCCTCCTCCTCCTCCTCCTCCTCCTCCCCTACATCTTCTCCCTCCACGCCCACCTTTCTCGAGATTTGTTACTCTCTCTTGGATCCAACTTTCTTTCAAGGCGCCATCAAAGGAAGTGCGGAAGCTCCGCTTCAGTAGGGCGGCCTCAGAAAAAAATATGTTGGGGGAGGCCCGTGTGATAAGAAGCCTGCGCGAACGCTGAACTATCCGTATGCCTTTATTCAGCTGCGTGACCGTGGCCAGCGCCTGGCGAGTCAAAATCATTATCAGTGTCACCACCACCAACAACATCATGGCAACAAGTGTCGTCGTCACCGCCATCGTTATGTGTAGATAACGATAGACCCATCATCGTCATCACCATCACCATCACCCGGATCGCTACGATCATCATCGCCACCGACACCATCGCGTCTGCTAGCCCCGACATCGCCGATATTGAATGGCCAACGAGCGCATAACAACAGTATTCCTTCAACATCAGAACCGCCAACACAAACATTATGATCTCCGTCGAGACCCACCCTACATCCGCAAATCGTTGCGCATTTTCGTGCCGAGCACATACACTGATCATCGGCTCAGCTTTGTGTTCATGGCATCCGACGATGACGAGGGGCTGAATCCTAAGTCGCCCCCTCTGGATAGGTCCTGAGAAATAGAATGTGAGATAGGAGGCGCAATTGGAGGGGAGGGATCGTGAACAGATGTTTCGAATCATCATACCCGGAGGCGAATACGGAGAGGCTTACGAGCACGGGTTTGGCGCTGCCCTCGCGTATCCTCCTTCTCGAGCGACTTCAAGAAGTTGACAACCTCCTTCATGCTCCTGTTGAGGCCGCCCACACGTGACCAGAGCAAATGGCGCAGGGGGGTCGTACAGCACCGCCGATGCATCGGTTACGTCGGCCACCAGGCTCACGATCGCGGAGCGTCGCCGATACATCTCTGGGGTAGACGAACCAACAATACGCAAACATCAACTTCCGGAAGGTCCGCGCATGCTTCTTGGTTCGGCGCCAGGGGGGGTCCAGCGCCGACGCAAGAAAGCCGCGCGGACCTCCGAAAGCTCACGTCGATGCCGTGTTTTCTTCCTCGATGGAGGTCCTCGAGCTCACGGCGAATGTTGGGATCGGCAGCAGCTTCCCGAACTTCTTGCCCCTCTCGCCCCGGTAGTAGTACTCCCCGGGCATGGTCTGCAGCACGACGGCCACCGCCCCGAGTCGAATGGCCTCCTCGACCTCGTATTCTCTGGGGCGATTTTCGCCGGCGCTGGCTGGGAATTAGCCGGCTTCCCCTGTGCTCAGATGAGGAGAAGGCGTCGATACCGCTGCCCTTCCCTCGTCGCCACGGCTGCATTCGCCTCGAAGTCCTGGTCAGAACGCGCCCTGGAGAGAGATCCACGGAGTAGTGGTACGGGCATCTTTTTGTGCCCCCATGTGCCCCTTGCCAGGTGGCGCTAGCGCGCAAATCGTGTCGTCACCAGAAACGGCCTAGGTAGCCTAACTTCGCACATCACGCCCCGCGATGCGCACCGCGCGCTCATCTTCGCGTCATCGCGCCGCCGCCCTTGCGAAGGGCGCGCGACGCGATGGTCGAAGCTCGGTTATCTTCGTGCCCCCATTGGGTGACCTAGATTCCCAGACGGCGCTGGGGCGCAGATCATGGCGTCACTAGAAGGGGAAGGGGTGGAGGAGGGGGGAGCGTGGCCACGGACACAGGGACATCGCGAGTATAGCTCAAAAACAAGCGTGGAGAAGGGAAGGGGCCCAGAGCCCTGAAGGCTTGATTGTTTCTAGCCGGATGCCCTAAAAATCTCGACCCAATCCCAGGGGGGGGGTTGCTCCTCCCAGCTCAACTTTTGATCGCCTGGCGGGGCCGAAAACGGACCCCAAGGCCCGAACTTGGGGGACGCGCCAAGACTGAAAAAACAACGAATTACCAGGGGACCTGGGAGGAGGCGGAGGAGGAGGCGCAGGAAGAGGTGCGTATATATATATATATATATATATACGCACACACACATAAACAAGACTGCATTGGCGCTTCGCGCCATGCACCTTGGTCTTTGAGGCTTTGCATACGTTGGTCGTTCGCGCCATCTCTAGTGGCCTTGGAAATTTGGCCCCTCCCCTGCGGTGGTTTTAAGAAGTCTTCAAAAGTTCGGGCGGTCCCTGGCCCTTCCCAGGCCTCTGGGGGCTGCCGAAAGGCGCTGGGTGGAGGCCAAAGGATAGGAGGGAGGGAATCTCGGAGAGCGAGGAAAGGAAGCGGATGCGGGGGAGGGCGAGTGGTGGAGCGGCAGAAAGAGGAGGGCGCCGTCGGGGGACGGCAAAGAATTTTGCAGCGCGTTGCAGCGTATCGCAACGGGGCACGCGAACGCAAATAATTCTCAGGAAATGCACACAATCCCGGATTGGTAACAGATTTCGGGGATTTGTGGTTGCGAAGTCGGGTCAATTTGGTGGAAAACGCCGTATGGGCCTTGTTGGAGCCCTGGTGGGCCAGTCGGCTTGGGGCCGTCTCGAGCCGTCTTGGGGCCATCTTGGGCCGTGTTGGGGAGCTTGGCCCCTCTAGGGACCTTGCGGGGGCTACGTAGGCCCTCCTGTTGGCCTCTCATGGCCTTTTTTGGGGGCCCCCCATGGCCTTCTTGCGTTTCTCTTGGGGGCCTTGTGAACGCGTGTCGGGCACTTTTTGGCTCATTTGGGGGTTCCTTTGGCAGTCTTGGGGCCGTCTAGAGACTCTCTTGGGGATCTCTTGGGCCGTCTTGGGGCGATACTGGACGCCTTCTTGGCTGTTTTGGACGCTGCTAAGACCCGAACAGCGAATACGCTGAAAAGGTGCGTTTCCAAAAGGGATTGGAGCGATGTCTGCGTTCTGGGAGCCATGTCGAGGGCCTCTGGGCCGTCTTGGGGGCCTCTGGAGGCCCTCTGAGTCCTTCTTGGAGCGCTCTGGTGCTGTCTTGGGTCTTTCTTCGGCCTCTCCGACCACCGCTATGATCGCTTCAATCACTTGCGAGGGCCTGTTGGGCCTCTTTTTGGCTCATTTGGGGTTTCATGGGAAGTCTTGGGGCCGTCCAGCCCGTCTAGAGGCTCTCTTGGGTGTCTCTTGGACCGTGTTGGGGCGATACCGGAAGCTTTTGGAGCTGTTTTGGACGCTGCTAAGACACGAACAGCGAATGTGCTGAAAATGCACGTTTCCCCAAGGGAATGAAGGGATTTCTGCGTTCTGTGAGCCCTGTTGAGAGCCTCCTGGGCGGGCTTGGGGGCCTCTGGAGGCCCTCTGGGTCCTTCTTGGAGCGCTCTGGTGCTGTCTTGGGTCTTTCTTCGGCCTCTCCGATCACCTCTCTGATCGCCTCGGTGCCTTGTGAGGGCCTGTTGGGCCTCTTTTGGGCTCAATTTTGGCTTGCTTGGGCAGTCTTGGGGTCATCCAGGCCGTCTAGAGTCTCTCCTTGGGGTCTCTTGGGCCGTCTTGGGGTGATGCTGGAAGGCTTTTTGAAACTGTTGGACGCTGCCAAGACCCGAACAGCGAATGTGCTGAAAATGCACATTTCCCTAAGGAATGAAGGGATTTGTGCATATGGGAGCCCTGTTGAGGGCCTCCTGGGCCGTATTGGGGGCCTCTGGAGGCCCTCTGGGTCCTTCTTGGAGCGCTCTTGTGCTGTCTCGGGCCTTTCTTCGGCCTCCCTGATCACCGCTCTGATCGCTGGTGGCCTTCTGGCAGGACCCAACTGAGCGCCCTGGGAGGTCCGGGACAGGCCGGGGGACCTTTGGCAAAGATGTCCAGGGGGCCCAGAAACCCGCGATCCTGGAGACAGTTTGGGGGGGGAGAGGGTTGTCCCACCACTCTGGCTTGTAACGTATAAAAAGAGGAATATACACACATATGTTCACATATCCGAACACATCCAAGCTCGATATGCAAGCAAGTGTGTCCAGTAGAACGGTGTGTCCGGTGTCAGACGCATATTGCAAGCCAATATGTGGCTAGGCGAGGCCTAAAACTTGCTGTGCGCAGCGTGCTCCGTCGCGCTCAAGCGGCGCCAGGTGGCCGAAGCGGAGACAAGGTGGAAGAGTGCATAATTCCATCCTAGCGGCCTGGCAACAACCGTCAATTCTACGTCGAAGCTCGGCTGTTCCATCAAGGGGGACAAGGGGCCGTTGCGGGGCGAGGTATGGACCAGACTTCAAGGCGGCTGCGTCCAGCCGCGGCTACGAGAACCCTCAGAGACTTCCCAAATCCTCCGAAACTGACCGGGGGGAGGTGGCAACCCCAATCTCCGACGTTGTGCAATTGTAGGGTTTTGCTAGGGCCAGAAGAATCGGGCCCCAACTCGAAGGCATGGCATAAGGGAGGCACCCGTCTAGAATAGGGGCGCGTCCAAAAAGCCCCCCCCAGGGGGTGTATCCCTGAGTTCCCCTCCTTGTCTGAGCGGCCAGATTACTTAGGACAACTGGGGGACTGAAGGCGGGAGATCGCCTGCGGACGACGACCACGATGACGACGACGAAGACGGCGAGCCTCGGCCACGAAAAGCTAACCGACGTAAATCTAGGGAACGACCCGGAAACCAGAGCCCCTCATGAACCCAAATTGAGAATCATTTCGGCGTATTTACTGAGCCTGGGAGAACTAGAAACAGTCAGACCTCTACCACGAGGAGCATTGGATGAGGATACAAGCTTGTTCTGGCCCCAGCTGCGACAAGATCCGCGAGAAGCGCCCGAGGACGCCAGAATAATAAGAACACTGCATAAAAAAATCCACGCGGATTTCCGAAAGGCTATGTTCATGGAGTCGTTTGACCTTTCTTCGACACACCTGCGGGGGGACCCAAGGAATTCCGAGCCCCTGACGAGACCGAAGGGGGGCCTTACCTCAAGGAGCTCCTGCTGCCAACCCCAGCCCGGCAAGGGCCTGTACAAGACCGAGCCTCCGAAGCGAAGGTCGTCGACGTCGTCGACGCCTACCTTTTTTCACTTTGAAACTCTCTCCTTGAGGGGGGACCGTAGGGGGGGGGGACAGCTCCGGGGGGAGAGCGAGGGAGAAACATCGATTTGGAATCGGCGATGCATCGCCGATAGATCGGCGATGGGCCCTCGACAGCGACTCCGCACTGCCCTGAGCGGGGTGGGCTAACAGGAACTACCAGCGATCAGTGGGCGAGTGGCGGTCGAGGCGTTACCCCCTGAGCCATGCCCCCTCAGCATTGCTCCTGACCTCCACCTCGAAACCCCCTCCCCCTTTTTTCTGGGGTCTATCCTGGCCAGTTTTTTCAGCCGCGTCCAGCTGCGGCGACGAGCATCCCCCGGGGGAGCCTGGAACACATCGGAGACGGGGCGCCGAACCCCGATACTCCTCGGCCCCGTTCCAAGAAGCCCGCCATAACAAAACAACAACATAAGCAGCAACAGGGGAACAACGCGCGTGAGAGCCCCAGGCTCTCCGACGTACCTCCCCCGCTCTCTCAAAAGGCGAAAGCGCTCGTGGCAGCCCCGTGCCACGGATCGGACCTCCCCAGCAACAGCCACGGCATCAGCAACACCAGGGTCCTCCAACTGACCGAACCTGCCCGCTTCCTTCGGGGGACCCATGGAGGTACGCCTTCATGTATGCGCGCATCGGCGAGGCGAATTTCCTACGGAACCTGACGGTTAAGTACCGCTGCAGGACCATCGAAGATCACACATTGATAGTATACGAGTCGCATCGGATCCCTATAGGATACGATTGGAGTCCTGTTGGAAACCTGTCGGATCCTATAGGAGCCTTACGCGGTCCCTGTCGGCTCCATGTAGGATCCTATAGGACTCAGTGGATCCATGCAGGATCCTCTAGGAATCCGACTGAATATCTGTAGGATCCTATGGGATCCCTACTGGATACCAATCGGATCATATATGAGCACTGCGGGACCCATGTATGATCCTTGTCTTCCCAGCGCAAAACCCCAATGCCGCCGCACACGCGCTCGCACCACGCGTCGGCTGTTCGGATGATGTCGGTTGTAAACTTATGATATCCAGGGCACGCGGAAACGCGACACATTCGAACCACGTGTGACGAGATGCTGGCAACGTGCACCAAGAAAACCCGGAGTCACGCGAGGGCCAACCTGCAATAGGTGAACCAACAAGTGAAACATTAGCTCGTGAAGAAACTACTGGCGATGGTTGCGCTGCCTGGGGATGGGTGTCCAAACGTTCCCGGCATCAGGCCAAGGTGCGGCCACAAATCACGGATGGACTGGTACACCCAAACATACACTTCAAAAAGGTGTGTTTCCCCTGGAGCCGCCCGCTGAAGCAGAATACATGGCGTGAGAAGTTCCATGAATGACCACGTAAGCTTGAATGTCAAGCACGTGCAAAGAGAGAGGGGGGGGGAGGAGGAAGAGGAAGAGGAGGAGGAGGAGGAGGAAGGAGGAGGAGGAAAAAGATGAGGAGGAGGAGGAGGAGGACTGGACTGGACTGGACGATCTGCGCATGGTCTATCTCTGGAGTCAAGAGCTCAAAGGGCGACCGCAGGGCGCTGCTGAGACGCTATGCTCATAGCGTTGTCAAACTTCCGATGGGACCCCCTC